AAAAAAAAAAAAAAAACAGAAGATGTCATATACAGTCAAAATACTAATAAAATTTCAGCTTAGTAAATCTTTGAAGACCATTTCCAAATTAATTAAGATAAGAAGCTCACAAGTGGCTGCGCTGGACCAGGAGGTACTGGAGCGACTGTGGGTTCACGATAGTAACCTTGATAAGATTCAATCAAAGTTGCTGGTCTTTCAGGCTCTTTGGTTGTTTGTACATATTCCTCGTTAGTTTCTGGTTGTACAACTACTGGTTGAGGTTCCACACTTTCCGGTTGTTGCGGTTCTGGAGCTGGATATGTTTCTCGAACAGCTGGAGGAATCGTCGGTGATCCAGTAAGAGCTTCCGCCTCCTTATCATTCCGACCATATTCAGCTTCTTGCCTCTTTAAAGCCTCCTCTTCTGACGCGATTTCTTCGTATGCATTGTCAATAGAGGACTGATACTCACCTGAAAAAATAGGAAATGAGTACAATTCAAAAAGAAAAAAAATGTGAATATAGTTTTAAACTTTGAAGAATCAATTTACCTGCAGATGCCACTTCTGGCATCGGTGTTTCTTCTACGATAGGCGCAACAGTTGGTGCACTTGGTGCAGGCGGAGGTGGTGGAGCAGCAGTTGATGTAGACATTGGCAAAACAACTATTGGAACCGGTGATGGTGTTTCTATTTCAGACTGTACCGCAACCACTTCTGGCGTTGCGGCTTGGGAATATGACTCCTCTATTACAGCTACTGTTTGCTCTGGTTCAGATGGAGGTGCTGGTTGTGGTTCCACTACCTCAACATTTATTGCTTTTTCGCCTTCCTCAACAGCCAACTTACTTTCTGGCAATGATTTTTGGACAGTTATAACTTTTCTTACAACTGGCGCAACGTTGCCTGAAAAAGCAAATATTGTTCTTTCTTCTCTAGTCTACTTGACTGGACATTATAAATGTTATAACTCATATCCGGAATTTTTTTATTATATATGAAAAAATTCAGGTTTCTCGAATAATAAACGCATACTTCTTGATTATACCTGTTTGTTGACCTCTGTTCAAAAAAAAAAACAGCATTATTTTTGTTAAGAAATGTCATTTTTGAAACTGAGTATTTATTTCGTTTAAAAAGTTTTGCTATAGTCAAAAAATCCGGAAGCAAAAAGGAGTGAAGGTGTAACCTGGGTTAAAGCTAGCTCCCGATGGTTGACCATAGCCAGTGTATGTTATAGATATAGGTTGGGAGTAAGAAGAGGACGCGTAACCTGTATTAGCCGCTGGAGCAGCATATCCACCAGAAACCTGTACGGCGTAGGTGGCAGCTGGTTGTGCTTGAGCGTAACTAGCAGCATAACCAGTGGCTGCCGGAGCAGCATAACTGCCTCCGGCTCCGCATGCACTGGTTGCCGGTACGCATGGCTGAGGAGCGGGAGCAGGCTGTGGCGAGTAACTTAAACAAGAGACAATTATTATTTGTTACCTCTTTACCGCTGGCAAAATAAAACTTATCTAGTTGATCAAAATTTATCTTTTTGTTTCCTCCAAAAACCTTCATTGATACCCTCGTGAAAATTTTTTTGGGCACTTCTTGTAAAAAAAGAAAAAATTTTCGTAATTTGTTTGTATCTAGTCGACTGTTGTGCGCTCATTTAGAGACACACTTGAAACGAAAACTGGAATACAGTCATCATTTGACAGAAAGAGGTGGCAGAAAAAAGAGGTAATTGAAAAGTGAAAAAAGTATAAATAATTGGTCGACAAAAATTAAAGGAAAAGGAGGAATAAAAGAACCGAAATGATAATTTTGTTGTTAGGGTGATTCATGCTCAGAAAAGTTGTTCAGTAAAATTTGAGCAGGTTTATCACCGCCTCAATAAAGAAAAAAAAAGGCGAAAGATTTAAAATCCAGAAATCTTTCGAAAGAAGACGAAACTAAAATTGAAACTTATTAATCTGTTCTTCGCCTCACTTAATTTTTCTCCCTTCAATTACAATTTCTTTTTCGTTTTCAGCTTTGAAGCCAAGAAATACCTTGGAGTTGGGCATGGAGGTAAGCTGGGGGCACAGGTCTGTTGTGGCATACAGCAGGCTCCACCGCCTCCTCCGATACAGGCAAAAGCTGGCGGTACGAGCAGAACGCAGATTAATAGAATTGCCATTTTATCCAATGATCAGTTTAAACGGTTCAGAGCAATCCTTTCTAAGATATACCCGGGTTTGTGCCGGATCGTTTTCGAGCACGCCCTCTGATTTTTCCGCTCCGCCTTTTTTTTATCGTTACGTCAGTAAAAATCGAAAGCATCCAAAAATTTGACGGTTTTTTTATTGACAATTTAAACTATGAGTAGAGATTTGTTTAACCTGTTTTTGGTGGTACATCGCGTACTTCTTCATCGTCCTCCTTGTCGACATGACATCCAAAGTGCACGTATCCTTTTTTTAGGCTTAAAGATTTTTCTAGGATAAGAAAATTTTGCAGAAAAAACAAGCGAGAGAAACAGATTTCTGGAGAAAACATTGTTGTCAATTTTACCCCCTTTTTCTTACATTGGTTGCTTTGTTTCTATCAAAGTTTTGGTTTCAAAGAATCTTTGAGCAGACTGTAATTCTTGGATTTCCATTTTTCCCGAGAAAAAATGAATGTCCATGTGACTTCGCTGTAAAAATGAAGCAAAAAACTGCAAAGTAGAGAAGAAAAAAAATGAACAGATAAAAAAGAAACTACAACAGAAGCAACAGCAGCAGAGTTTTCCATTTTCTAACGGCTTCTTTTCCTGTAGAACCGCCAAATGATTAAAATACTTTTTGTTCCATTACAATACTAAAGCGTCGATTGTAAACAAGGATTCCACTGATATTTCATTGATCAAAAAACACAAACAAATTTTGGATAAAAGGTTCGTTTGATAACGACAAATTTGTTTGACTGTCAGTTTAATCGTTGTCTTCACACAGTTCACTTAAATTAACCATATTTTTTTCTGACCATTTTAAACCAAGACTGTACAGCATTGTTGCGCTGTAGTTCGCAGTTTTAAACCAAAAGTTGGTGTAAAATTTTGCATCGTAATTGTTTTCTTGCTTTATCAATGATATCAGTTGATGAATCTCAAACACTAGTCGTTGCAAGCGTTCTCAAGTGTGCAATTTACCGCTTTGAAGCCTACAATTAAGCTTATTTGTTCTTTATCTTTCAATTAAACTAATCAAGTTTTTTCCATTGTTTTTTATAGATCTTTTCTGAAGCAGTAGAGGTGGGTGAGAAGGACAACAAAATTGTAGCAGAAGGAAGAACAAGACATTCTGGTTCTTATTGCTGGTTTCCATCTAAGTAGCATGGCGTCCTTGCTGTGTCTGCCCTTAACACTATCGATCCCGCTATTACGGATTCAGATAAGCGCTGATCAAGCGGTGATCTCTAAAAAATGTTTCCGCTTCAAATTTTGACTCAAAACCAGTTGTTACTGTTGTATGATCTACAACCCTCTGAAAATTCTGCACAGAAGACTCGTCATTTCGAATTTCAATATTTTTTTTATTTTTTTGACTGTTAAGAAACCTTTTATCGTAGCATAGTATCTCACTTAGTTTTCATGGACATTCAGTTTTCCATTTATTGTAACAACTGTAAGTGTCATTTTTTCCTAACAACTCGGTGAAATTTAGTAAAGTGGAACCATCAGCATCGACAAACAGCGCTTCGTATACGTTTTTTTCTATAATGTACACTGCTAAACAGCTTTTTAAAAAACGCTCACTGAGATGAATAAAAATAAGGTAAGAAGAAGAAACCTTGTGACGATGAAAGACTGATTAATTTCAGTCCCAACTTTTGTTGCAGGCAGACAAATTACCTCAACATTCTGCAGATAACAAATGTAAAGAGAAAAAACGGAACAAAAATGAAATTCAAGCAAAAAATGGCATCCAACTATTTAAAACATTGTCGCCAATTTCTTGTCTCAACTTTCAGCAAACTAACTACATCAAAGATATGTCTAAAAATGTCCAGCAATTTCGGTGCGATTTATGTTGTTGAAAGCATCGCTGGAAACACTTCCATTTCCACTACCAACCTGATATTTTCTCAGTTCATTGTACCATGAATCTTTTCAAAATTATTAATTGAGTGGATTAAATCTTCTTCGTGGTTCTCTTTTTAAAGTCCTTAGGGTTTCTTGGCAAGCTCAAAAAGGCTGTGTCAGTAATTCTACCTTCCTTTTAATAAAAATCTTTTAGTGAAAACTAAAAGAATTTTTACCGACGTTGGAACGATCACGACATAGAAAACTAAGCTATTTTCTTAGAAATTCGCTTCTAATGCATTGATTTTCCACCACCCTTCAAATCATGAAATCATTTTGTTTTCTATCTTAAGATGTCTCAGCTTTTTGGCTGTTGGTTAACTGTCGTTCCTTTCTCCATCTACATTAATTTATTTCACCAATCTAGGCAGACGATTTACTGATCACTATAAAACAGTAACTACGCAATCAAGAAAATGTAAGTTTTATGAGTGGTGGACCGAAAAATCAGCCATAAACCCAAAATTGACACAGTGAAACTCTTTTAATCTGTAAAAATATATAGTAAGGCAGACAACTAAATTGAAAACTTTCTAGTAACGTAGTCAGAAATTCGGAATAACTGTTATAACACTGACCAAGACTAAAGTTCCAAGCTCTTATTGCAGAGACATTACTTTACAGTAAAGCTTACATGTCCTTAAAACTACTTAATGCAAATGGCAATCGTTTCTCTGTGAGGCATACGTAACCGCTACTCTCACGTACTAAACAGAATGAGAGTTATCCAGGAAACAACAGCAATGATTTGTGTGGTGGCAGTGTGTAAAATTGTTCGAATTGACTGCAGATGGAATTTGGAATGCACTGCTCTAGACATCAAACTGGTAACACCGGACTAGGTAACGTCCGGCAATGACGGTTTGTTGAGCGCGATGGTCAGCGGCTCAGACGCACAGTGGTGCACTGCAATCACTAAAAGGTATTCGGTTGTTGCCTTTTTCCGGCCAACCTGTTCCCTTTCATCAACTAATTTTCAATTTCATTTTGTTTCATTCGTTCCCAATATTTTTTTTTTTTTTTTTGTATTTCCATTTAAGGTCACAATTTCACAACATAATAAATTCAAATTTTTTTTGCGTAACCTTTTTTGTCGTTTTAAGGTATAAAAACGAAAGTGCAAAATTCCAGAGATAGTTCTTATCATCGATATAAAGCCTTATACTGCTAGCCATAACAAGTAAGAGAAGGAATAATGTGGTCGAGAATAAGATATAGTCAAGTTTGAATAAGAATGCTATTTCCCTTTCAGGTAATTAAACAAGGTAAATCTATCAAATATAAGTTGCTCAGTCATTTCTTCTCATTGAAACTAATTTTGAAGCCGCCTAATGATTAAACGAAAAAATAAAAACGAACCAACAAAGTATAGAATCTTCCATTCGTTTTCCGTTTTCACGGGTTAAAGTGGAACAACCTCTGGAACCTCACTGGTGCTCGTAGAAGAACAAAAACAACAAAACAATAATCGCAGCCTCGAATTGTTCAGCTGCAAAAGGCAGTTTTGAAGTCAGAATCCCAAACATCCGAACACCATATTTTTTACTGTAATTATTATTCAAAAAAAGAGCTACATATTTATAACAGTATGCGTGTGTAGGTGCGCGAAAAAAACCAGAATCTGGCAGCCGAAATATAATGGGTAACAATAAATGAGCAAAGAAACAAAAGTTGCAAATCCTCTTAAAAGGCCTACTGAACTCACAATCGAAAGAAG